TTTTCAGGATTCTTTGATGAATAAAAAGTTAAAAAGAACAGCATTTATTCAAAATATAAATCTTTTCTAACGATATAAATCTGCTATCACTTAACAATTTATCCTCGCTGAATAAAAGTTTTAATTTCTTTCAAAGAAAGAAAGAATAAAAATTTACTGACCCCAAACTTTTAATTGTTAGAAAAGATTTATATTTTAAATAAATGCTCTTCTTTTTAACTTTTTATTCATCAAAGAATTCTGGAAAAAAGTATCACATTTTCCAAAAAGAAACATTAAGCAGCACAACAGTTTCCAGCACTGATAATAAATCAGCATATTAGAATGATTTCTGAAGATCATGTGACACTGAAGACTGGAGGAATGATGCTGAAAATACAGCTGCGCATCACAGAAATAAATAGGATTTTAATGTATATTAAAATAGAAAAACATTATTTTACATCGTAATAATATTTCACAATATAAAATTTTTTCCTGTATTTTTGATCAAATAAATGCAGCCTTGATGAGCATAAGAAACTCCTGTAAAAAACATTCAAAATCGTTCTGATCGCAAACTTTTGAACGGTAGTGTATTTTTACAGCTACATGAGAGTGAACTGGGCCAAAATACAAAAAAAGTTAAACATTCAATGTGATGGATATATTATTTGAAGATGTATGTAATGACCAAATAGTTATTTTAAAGTATATACCTCCTGTAAATGATGTAAGTTTACAGTGACATTACAGTACCTTTACATTACTTTCCATACAGTACATTTAAAGGTGCAGTATGTAATATTGCCAGCTAGCGGTTGAAATGGATACCGCAAAAACCCAGGCATTCCTCCCCGGAACGCACATTTCAGAGTAGAATTACTGGCTATAAACAGCTATGTAAACGTAACATGTTTCCTTAATATCTACAAACATTGTTTGTTTTTTTTTGGCTTTAGAAGAGGCAAAAAATAACATACAGCACCTTTAAAGTAAGATGTGAATATTTTCTAAAAATAAAAATGTAACTTTTTAACTTTCCGTATTTGATTATTCTTTCTTACCAGGTTCTTAAAAATTCCAGCCACAATCGATCACAACAATGTATATACAAATACAGATGATTAAGCATATAAATCATCAGTTTGTTCATTTACACGCACACAGACATTATTTCATACACGACATGCTCTTGCATGTCATAAGATGAATAAATAAATAGGTACCTAAAATAAAAAAGGAATATGTTATGAAAGTCATGCGAGTTTGAAACAACATGAGGATAAGTAAATGATGAATGTTAATTTCTGGGTGAACTACTTCTTTGTTCATACCTGTTTCTCAGTCCTCTGTGCTGCAGCTGATACAGTGTGGTGGTTTTTATGTTCATCTATTGCACACAGCACGCATATATATTTGTGGTCAGTGAGACAGAAAACCTCAAGGAGCTTGTCATGTTTCTGGCAGATCATCTCCTGCAGTCGTCCAGTGGCTTCGGTCAAATTGTGTCTCTTTACTCTAAAGAAACTCTCATGTTGTTCGAGGTGATTCTGACAGTAAGAGTTCAGACACACCAGACAGGACTTGACGGCTTTGTTTTTTCGTCCAGTACAGACGTCACACTGCACATCTCCAGCTCCAGCGTCACAGTCAGCAGGAAGGTTAGTCTTCTTCAGTTTCTCCACCACTTCAGCCAGCATGGTGTTTTTAGCTAAAGCAGGTCTTGGACTGAAGGTCTGTCTGCACTGAGGGCAGCTGTAGACTCTCATCTGATCCTCCTGATCCCAGCAGTCTGTAATACAGCCAGCATGGTGTTTCTAGCTAAAGCAGGTCTTGGACTGAAGGTCTGTCTGCACTGAGGGCAGCTGTAGACTCTCTTCTGATCCTCCTGATCCCAGCAGCCTGTAATACAGCTCTTACAGTAACTGTGTCCACAGGAAGTGGTCACTGGATCCTTCAGGAGATCCAGACACACTGCACACAAGAACTCATCCTGAGAAAATCTGGCTTCTGCCATTTTACTACAAGTATACAGAGACACAAACACACAACCGCTCAACTACTCTTAAGTTTCAGTTTCCCTGAACTGAGGAGATTACAGTTTCCTCCTTCTGTGTTAGAGTGACGTGTGAAAAACAGGTTCTTCTTGCAAGTCTAAAGGTAACTAACTCCGCCCACCAACGTGTGGTACGGTCAGACAAAAGACAAGGTTACAAAAGACGCCTGCAAAATAAAAGCCCGTAGCAAAGTGCGTAACAGCTACATTTTGACACGAATAACCGGAGTTCGAATGAATCTTTTGCCGAACTCATTCTTCTCCCTTTTCACATCACATATCACATCAGAAAGGCATTTATTTTCAATAAAAATGAAGGAAAAGTTTCAAATAAGGTTAAGGTTAAGAATAGGGTAGGCCAAAGTCCTTTTAAGACAAGTCATGTCACTTGGCGGCCATCTTTGAAACGCCCCTCGGGCATGCAAGTGCAGCTCCTATCTCTTTGAATGGGGAAACATCAAATTCTTCAAAACTGTTAACTAAGCTTACGATTAAATTTCATATTTGAAATCACCAAAGAAATCTGACAACAACTGTGTCATAAATGTTGTTTCTCTGCTCAAAATAGCGTTATAAAAAGCCTATTTTTCAGGCTAGATCAGCCAGTGCGCATGCGCAGTCCTAATGCTGCGTTCAAGTCCTCCTGGGACGTTCGTACGTACGAGTTGACAAGTCGTAATTACGACGTCAGGTGCGTTCAAGTCAGTTTAGTCGGCACAAGATGGCAGTGTACCTTCTTTTAATAAATTACAAGAAAATACAACAGGGTCTGCATTTTTTTACTTGGATTTCAGCTGCGTAACAAGAACATGACCAATTTAAGTTTATAGGACAACTAAACTATCAATTTAAACAAAAATGTACCGTCAACTACAGACGTTGCATCCATCGATTCCGCCATGTTTCTCATTGACACACCCCCAACTCGGGGCTTAAAGAAAATGTTGAGTTTCCCCACTCGTAATAACGACTTTGTGGTGGCGTTCATGTGCGTTCAACTCGTAAATACGATCTATCCGACATGACTTGAACGCACCATTAGAGCACGTCTCGGAGCGCTGACTGTTTCTATAGCAACCGGGACTTCTAACGGCAGCTGCAGTGACGCGCTGACTTTACCGATTAGCGATTGGCTCTATTAATCAGAAGGTGGGGCTTCCAGCGATTGAGCGGCCATATTGAGCGTTGCATTTTTCCCCATTCAAAACAATACGAGTGACACGTCTTGGGTATTCTATATTGTCTCAAATCTAAATTAAATTTTGGTAACACTTTAATTCGATAGTCCACTTTAGACATTCTATTAACAGTAAGTAACTTTGCAACTACATGTCAACTAGCAGTTAGTAGAGTATTAGTAGACTGTCTGCTTAATATCTCCTAACACTTTCTTTGTCAACTTATTCTACTAACCCTAAACCTACCCTAACAGTCTACTCTGAGAGTTAGTAGACATGTAGTTGCAAATTAATGAGAATTAGCTGACATGTAGTTACAAAGTTACTTGTAGTTAGTAGAATGTCTAAAGTGGACTATCGAAATAAAGTGTAACCTAATTTTTTTATAAAAATTATAATTTACGCTTAATACGTTATTATTACATACAGTTTTATAATGTACTACAATAGCGGTGCAGATATCTGGCACTATTTGCACTAAGTAGTATAAATAGCATCTAACTACTATTGCAAAGAAAATACTGCTATTTTTACATAATGTAAAAAGAATATCGCTATCTGCATATGTAAACAGCATATCACTAAAATACTGCTATTTTTACTTAGTTTATAGGGGTTTTAGTTTATTTAACTTAGAACCATACTATAACATAAAAAAGTATCATTAATATTTATGTAAATCTTGGTGTAAAAAGGTAATAGAGGGAGGAAATGAAAAGTTATTACCATGTTCTCTTGAGCCAGCTGGGCTACTCGATAGTTAATTGCCTGTAATACAATACATTTGTTAATACTTAATAATATAAATCTGATTTTGTATTAAGTCAAAGGACAGCATTTGCGTTTCACATACACAGCAGCTATGTTAATCACAGTTCAATTAATTTCAGATGTTAATAGCAAAACAATATTACTCATTTACACTTGAGTAATCAGTGTAACCATGGCATGGCCAACAAAGACTCTCCCAACAAGTCCGGTGGGCAAACACTGCGGATATCCTTTATTGACACTGGAAATCTGCGGGACACACAAGCCAGGGTTTGATTTTCATCGCGGCCTCCAGTGAATAAGTTCTTCAGCTTTTCCTTTAAACACACATTGCAAAACAACAAACAAACTGTTAATTCCTTTACTTTACAGCGTAATTTGAGACAAAATTAAAAAGGCAGAAAACTTGAGTAATTACCTTGTCATTGTCATTTATAGCATATAATTGTGCTACAAATGAAGACTTAAAGGGGTGCTATTATGCTTTTTCACTTTTTCAACTTTAGTTAGTCTGTAATGTTGCTGCTTGAGCATAAAAAAGATCTTCAAAGTTACAAAGCTCAAAGTCCAATTCAAAAGGAGATATTTTATTTAACAGAAATCACTTTTCAAAAACTACAAGATGGATAAAAAATCAAATTAAAATAAGCATGTAACGACCACAAACGGAGGAACATTGTCATGTCACACATTCGTTTGTTATTTTTTAGCACCATCTTGTGGCAGTTTGGTGTAACAACAAAGAACATTAATAATTGTTAGCTATTTTCTTAGTGGTTGATTTAGACCATGTGACTCTTGGGTTAGAGGTTAACCAGGAAATAATCGCAGTGTTCCAGATTTTCTCCATGCGGTTGTCCAAGAAGCTTTTGTAAAAGAGCATAATAGGACCCCTTTAAGGTCATTGCACACAGAGTCCGAAATTTTTGCATGTTAAAAAAATAAATACGACCTCACGTTGTCAATCACGTTTACACACTGCCTCCGAAACTTTCATCCGGCATAAAAAATTTGGATCAGGTTCGATTTTCTGCGTTTTCGCATCCGTTGCACGCATTTTGATAGGAAAGGATGATCAATAGGAAAAAACATAAAAAAAATTCGTACTCAGTGTGCAAGCGTAACGGAGGCCAGCGGTAGGTGCTGTGCAGGTAAACCTCACTCCCCTGATCTGCAACTGACGCTAGTAGCTGCGATCTTTAGCCTCCTTGTTAGTGCGTCCGCCTCCCATGCCGGAGACCCGGGTTCGAGAACCACTCGGAGCTAGAACGAGGTGTGGCAGTGAGGACCCGGGAGAGAGGGGTTACACAAGGACCTGTCATGTGGGATGTTCAGTTTGCCGCCAAAAGTAGGCTGGGGAGGTTTTTGTCCATCTAAAAACAAAAATGTTTTATGAAAAACAGGTTGTTTACTTTGGTGTAACTTTGCGATTTTCGCATCAAAATTTGGTAATTTTATTATTTTAGCGCTTCCACAATTTATACAATTTTATTATTTTGTAATATGATATAATGAGGAATCCTACCAGCAGAGTACAGTCCTAGCATCCCATGCAATCCAACAGACGACTGTGTGTTGCACATGGCCTCAATATCAGCCTTAAAAGTCCGGTTGATCTCGTCATTGTGCAGATCAATCAACACCCTTAGAGTCTGTTTGAAGTGTGCCTCATTCATTTGGCACAATGAATACCGTACAGCTGAAAGTTCACAATTGAACTGCTCTGCTACTGCTGAGTTTACTTCTGTTCTTAAGGCGGGGCAGATGTTGAGGTTTCTCAACTTCTCTTCTGGACATTTTTTATTTTTTTTGGTGGAACCTGTCATATAAGCACTATCTTTCAGATGTCCCTGTGATCGCTATCCAGCTGTTCTTGTAGTGGTAATGAGGTAGTACTGACTAATCCAGAAGAATATTCTTGTAATCTCACAATGTTTGCACACGTTGTGCACTCTTTTACAGCTACAAGAAACACCTATAAAATGAAAATAAACATAAAAAGCTGATATAAATAATACTTTTTTTTCTGTAATCATTGGTGGTGGTTTGAGGAGAAATCCCTGATACCACTGTAAAGCACTCTGAGTGTATAGTGGTACGTTAATGCTTTATACATTATAATCCAGTTGTAATGAAGCGCTACATGCATAAATGTTTCATGCTTCATTTACTACCGTTAAAGTCAGATATTACTGAGATACCATGATGGATACATGCAAAGGTATAGACTTGCTTGTTGACATAACTTTTCGGACATACACCACAGCTTGGGTGGTTACAACTTTGGTTTGGATAGGCCCAGGACAGTATGGGCAGGAGTTTTCTGAGGGAGCAAAACATGGTGGTGGTTCTTCCTCCTGAGTCCTCAGCTTTAAAGGTAGTTCCTGCAGGCATGGGATGCATTTTTGTTTTGAAAGGTATTCTGTCACACATGATGCTGCTCTCAGCCATGTGAGTCTCCAAATCATCAATGTCCTCTACTTGAATATCTGAGGTGGACACTAATGGCGCTTTTCCACTGCGTGGTACAACTCGGCTCGGCACGGCTCATTATGGCACGGCACGGCTCGGTTTGCGTTTCCACTGCAGTCAGTACCGCTTTAGAGTGGGCGGGATTATTCACATGTCGTTATAGTTGCGCCGCCTCTACTGCCGCGACTCCTGAAAAACTTTTTCATTCCGCGTCACCCCATCAAGCTCTCACTGGATCCGCTCCCCTGCTATCAACAGGAGGAACGTCT